TATATATAATATATTATATATATATTATATATATATATATATATATATATATATATATATATATATATGTCTTCCTGTGTAGCTCAGGCTGGCCCTGAATTCACTATATAGCCCAGGGTGGCCTTGAACTCAAGTGATCCTTTTGCCTCAGCCTCCCAAGTGTTGGAATACAGGCGTAGGCCACCACGCCCAGTGAACAAGGGGATTGAAAAATGAGATTCAAAAGCACAGGACTTGTGCTTCCCTGAAGAATATGGGAAAATTCTCAGTAACACTTGCTACACTGAAGCCAAGAGCAGAGGCAGAGCAGAGTGAACACTTACTGTTAAGGCTGGAGACCTGACTTCTGCTGACTGGTACTCTTGGCTCACAGGCCACAGGAGTGGCCTCAGCCCAATGATCTGCTTCTAAGCCTTCCGTTCCTGCGAAGCCCACCTTATGGGGCTGCTGACAGTCAAAGGTATCAAAGCTGGGTAAAGACATGTTGAAGACTGCAGCAAGTAAGGCTTCAAATGCACATTTCTTTACCTAGGCACTGTACTTGGAACTGAGGATAAATGAAATGATACAAAACAGGGCCTTCCCTTCTGGACACATGGTGAGGGTTTCTGGCAAGCAAGCCAACCGAAAGGAGACTGGTACCTCACTCAGAGAGGTGTGTAGGGGAGGCAGTGCTCAAGTGAGTGACACCTATGCTGGAGCATGAGCTAAATAGGTGATGGGAAAAGAGCCTGTTTAAAACAGAAGCTTATTAGAGGAGGAGGGGGGAGGCTGATTTAAAAAAGAGACAAGCTCTCCTATGTATGTACATGCACCCACTCCCCAAGATGACTGTAAATTGCATGTACTGCAACTCTGTGGTAAAAACACAAAATAACAGCAGGCTAAGAGAGGTACTGGCAAACTATGGCGTCATGTTCCCATCTCCTTTTTCATGCTGAGGTGAAATTCACATCATAAAATCAACCATTTACCGGCATCAATTCAGTAGCATTTAGTACAATATTGTGCAGCCAACACCTTTACATGGTTTTAAAACATTTTCATCACCCAAATCACATCCCTGTACCCAATAAATAGCTCCCATAGTTGCTGCCAACCATGAATCTGCTCTCTACAGATTTACCTATTCTAAATAGTTCATACAAATTAAACCATAAAATATGGTCTTTTGGGTTTCATTTCTTCGCTTAGGCTTCTCCATGTTGCAGCATGTTTCAGGACTTCACTTCTTTCTAGAGGTGTGTGTGTAAACCATGTTTTGTTTATTCACTCATCCAGTATTGAACATTTGGGTACATATTTCCAACACTTGGCTATCATGAACAGCACTGCCATAAACATTAAGTATAAAAGCTTTTGTATGAACACGTTTTAATTTCTCTTTGGTAGATACACAGCAGTGGGTCAAACAGTAACTTTCTGAGGATCTGCCCAACTGTCTCCCACCGTGGCTGAAACGTTTTACATTCCTAACACTACTGTGCAAGGGCTCCAATTTCTCCACACTGGTGCCAACACTTGTGAACTTTATTATAGCCGTCCTAGTTGGTGTGAAACGACATCTCATTGTAGCTTTGATTTGTATTTCCCTAATGACTAGTGTAATGGTTTGGAGGCTTAATGGCCAGCACATCATTAGAGCTGGGACCTAGATGACAGTGATTATGACAGCACTGATCTCACTAATGGACGGATGCAGTGATGAGTTTCTAGCACAATGGACTATTAGGTGGAGGAAGTGGGTCACAGGGGTGTGGTTTGAAGGCTATATCTCGTAAAAAATCAACTGGTGATAAGACACATGAGTTTGTTCCTCAACTGATTCTTTTCATTTAATCTACAGAGCCGGGTGTGGTGGTGCACACCTGTACTCCCAGCACTCAGGAGGCTGAGGCAGGACAATCATTGCGAGTTCCAGGCCAGCCTGGGCTACAAAGTGAGCTCAAGGCCAGCCTGCACTACATAGTGAGACCCTGTCTCAAAAAAAAAAAAAAAAAAAGTCAATTAATCTACATGTGTATCATATGAGAGTTCTTGTCATCAAATGCTTAGAATTTTATCTCTTGGCTTTTAGTGTGTTGGTAAAGTACACATGAGATTTGTTACTTAGTCTTCATTTATATTTTTCAAATAGGATGATTTCCTTGTAGACAGGCAAGACTCCAAGGAGTATTTAAGTTTTATTCATATATAAATCACATACCAACTCTCATTCATTCACTCATTCTTTATATTTTTGTCTTTTTGAGACAGGTCTTGCTATGCAGTTCAGGCTGGCTTTGAGCTCACTTTGTAGCCCAGGCTTGTCTCAAACTCACAAAGATCCTCCTGCCTCAGCCTCCTGAGTGCTGGGATTATAGGCATGTGCCACCATGCCCAGCTATCTCATTCATTTAAACACATCATTCAATTTTTTTCGTGTATTGAGAGTTGTGAAACCAATGTAATTTTAGAATACTTTTAATTCTTTAAAATGAGCTTCATTAGCAATCTCCATTCCCACTTCTCACCCTCCAAGTTCTAAGCAACTTCTTCTCTACATGTTTGCATATTCTGGCCATTTCTCATAAATTGAATCAAACAATATAGTCTTTTATAACTTCTTTAATTTTCCCAAGCCTCGCTCTTTTTTTTTTTTTTTTTTTTTGAGACAGGGCCTCACTATGTAGCTCAGGCTGGTCTTGAACTCATTTTGTAGCCCAGGCTGGCTTCGAACTCATGATAGTCCTGCTTCAGCCTCCCAAGTGATGGGATTACAGGTGCGTACCACCTCACTCATACTATGTATTCACTTTTCATGAAAAGCTACTATCTTACTGTACAGATACCACTGTATTTATCTACCTTTCGGCTGATGGACTTTAAATTGTTTCTACTTTTTTACTATTATAAATCATGTTGACATGCACATTTGTGCATGCTTGTGGTAACAATTTTTAGTTTAAAGTCTATTTTGTATTAGTATAGCCAATCCACTTTTTAGGGTTTACTTTGCATGTTATACCATTCATATCCTTTTACTATCAACATATTTTTATCTTTGAACATAAAATATCTCCTGTATACAGCATACAGTTGGAGATAATGTCATCATCTGTGTAAAGTTGGAGATGTCACTACCTGCCAATCACTGTCTTTTTATTGGTGCATTTATTTTGGATAATTACTGACAAGGTAAGATTTCTGCTGATTCAGGGAGGGGGTTACACCCAGAGCCTTCACACTGAGCTACATCTCCAGCCTTCTTCTTTTTAAAATCTTGAGACAGGGTCTCACTAGATCACTGAGTTCCCCAGGGCAGGCTCAAACTTGCAGATCCTCTTGCATTAGCCTCTCAGTGGGCTGGGATTAGAGGTGTGTGCCACCGTGCCTAGTTTAAACAGGTATTTTCTAGAGTGCCATTTCAATTTTCTTATTTCCTTTAGTATTTGGGGGGGTGCTTTCTTTTTTCCTAGTGCTTTTGTGAGTACAAAATAAAGGAAAATAAGGAGCTCAACAATTCAAATACTCAGCTCTAAACATAATCTAAAGCTCCAAACATGCATAAAAAGTTGAAAAACTTCTAAGTGTATCCTCAAAGAGAATCTTCTCTCCTTTAGCCACATGGCTGAAACTGTAGAAATCCAAACGCAGGCCTTCATAATTTGACTGGCTGAAATACAGTGTAAGTT